CGCAGGGACACCCTGACCTTGATTTGCGCCTACCGCGAAGTCCATACGGACCTTACCTTCCTTCGAGCCATTCAGAGCAGCCTGGAACAGATTGTTGAAAGCAGGTGTGCCGAACCCATATACATTCCAGTCTGTGGGCGTTGTAGTGTTCATGCCCTGTGCTGTTGGAAGGCCATACAAGTAGAAGGGCAACAGTTCTATGCCACCGGCCCCAGCTTCAGCGATACGGGCGATATCCTTTTGGACGACGTCGGCAGGGACACTTGCATCAGGTAGCCTGCCTCTTCTCAGTACTTCACATTCCGAGGGTAGTGAAAAACACACCAGTAGCGGAACTTGGGACGGTAAATGACATCCGGATTAACAAAGCCAGGGTCGACGCCAGAGGCAGATACTGCTATGGTTGCAAGAAGCGTATACAACGCTACCGCGCCGCTTTGTGCGACATGTAAGGCTCTCATGTTAGTTTGGTCTCAGTTCTTGCAGACTGTCTTCAATCCCAATCTGGGCTCTGTCTTCTTGTGGTTTAAAGAGCTCCATGTTATTTATGGCCGCAAGAGGGATGTAACCCCAGTTATCTCGGCATTAATTATCACGAAGTGCGGGCGGTTTCTGGGATCGACGGCCGGACTTCTCGAATGAAATTGCGGGGAAGTAGCCAGTAGAGCTTCTGCCCACACAAATCCCTAAGCCAAGTCTTTTCGGGGCTTCATTCACCGATAGCCACTGATCAGCTCATGCTTCTGAACAAGCTTGCTTTTTAATATCCCGCCATGATGAAAGCTAGCATGTACAAAGTAGTGATTTACTACTTAATCACATGGATGAAGCTTTCTGTTGGAATGGGAGGCCACTCCCTATGGCTTAGCTCTGTCTATCCATTATCATAGTCCACTTTTATGAACATCCAGCAAAGAAGAATAATTTGATCCTGCGAGGTCATGTGCCCAGTAGAGCCTCAGGGCTATTTCTCAAAAGTTCTTTATCCTGTGTTTCTCAGAGTTAGTATTGTTGAATTCGATTATTATCGTTATGATCAACACTATTGAAGATCTAAGATAAGCGATCCTTGGCTTGCCTTGCTCCTCCCTATGTAGGTATCTAACTTATACCGACCTCAAAGACGTGAATTCCTATTCAGATATTCGGTTACTTCATGTTAGGGATACCAATCTCTTATGCGGAGTCTCCTGGCATTACTAACGTCTTGAGGGATATTCCCTGATGCATCAAAATCTTCTGATAACCAATTAGTGAACTCTCACAAGGCGTGCTTGAATGATTGAGAGCTATTCATCCCTGGCTCAAATGGAGGCTTGATTAACTGGAAAGAGGTTAATGGGCACTTATTCCTCAGAGCAAACAAGCATGAAAATAATAGTAGTAATAAAAAAGAAACCACATTGCCTAGTAGGTTCCTAGTGATAAGAAAAGTTGCCATTTGTTTCTCACTTCAGACTGTATAGGGATGATGCTCCGTCCAAATCACATGCATGGCCTTAAAACCTGCATGGACCAGGAAAGCACAGGTAAATATAATGCTACTGCGGCGATGTACAACCTTTAAAGGTTGCCAAGGACTTGAGGCAAAAAAATTTTCTCCTGTTTATAGTGGCTTGGCTCCGGAGGTTAATATCCTATTTATTAAATTTAATTAATAGCGCATAACAGACTTGGATCACAATGATAGATGGCCTTGAACCAAATAATCGCCAAGAACCGTACCTTGCAGACTGTTACATCGATCGGAGACTACTCCAGATTAGGGAAGAGAAGCCAAGAAAATAGATGTGGATCAGCGGGTTTGTCCGTACTGGTTGGGGCTGGAGCTTGGGGTCTAGTTTGCACAGGGTACGGAGTACAAAAGACGAAACTAGCAGCATGACTTTTTCAAACCTAAGCATTAGCCTCGAGCTCAACACTGCCCTGCTGCTACCTGTTCAATACTAGTCAGGGCATGTTTATCCTCCGGCCCCTGGGCACCGAGGCTTGGCACTTGGCGTTAGAACTGTAGTCTCCACTGGTCAGCACACTATCTCAACTATAACTATTTTCCGAGGCTAGGCCTCTATGATAAACTCACAAACAATTTTTCCTGAACAAAGCATACTAACTTGTATAAGCGAAAGGTTTGCTTGGCTACAGTCTACCCAAGCACATATTTGTCTACTATCGTGACCTCCTAGGGTTGATAGGTCAGGTTCTGGACGAGAAGAGGGCCAGTTGAGAAGATCACGGAAGATGCCTGTCCTCTCGTGCACTTTATGGAGCAATGGAAGCGGTGCCATGCGTCCTTTCAAGGCGACATTAGCGTGTCTGACCTAAGTTATTTTACCGAATTAGGAGGCTGGTCCAAGAAGACTGGATTTGGATTTTTATCTATATGCAGCGTGCCTCGGTTGCGACCATCTATTCATGCCAGTCTAGACTTCGTTGGCTGGCACAATACGGGTATTCTATTCTACTCCTGCTGTTGCACATAGATAGAGCTGCCGAGACTATACCCAGATGACTCAAGGTCGGTAGTAAAATGCACTTAAAATAGCGCAAAGTCCCTTGTCGCCCTAGACTTGGCAGGGCTGTCGTTAACATGATTTCCACTATCGCCACTGGTACCAGCGGTTGTAGAACTAGTAGTATTACTAGTCGTAGAAATTGTAGTCGGTTTGTGCACTGGTTCATCTTCGTCAGCCTTGACCGGCTCAAAGACATTGATGCACTCCTTGCCGCCGAAGACCTCATTCTTGCCACCGCTTCAGGGTAGGTTACAGGGGGACTGGTTACGAGCGTGCTCGCCAGCGGCGAAGGGGCTGCACCAGCACTCGTTACCAGCCTTGACGCCTGCAAACGTCAACGCCGCGAGGTGGCAGGCATCCTCGCACTCGGCGATCGTCAACGAGAGGTCGCCTCCCTCCTTGCTCGCGCGTCTGGAGAAGCGGTAGCAGATTGGGGCCAATCAAAGTAACAGCCTGAAGCAGTTCACGCCGTTGGACAAAGGCCCAGAGTGGTTTGTGTCTTGTTTGAATTGTCCAGTCTCTCCTGGGTCACAATGTAGTAGGATTAAGATCTCCACAGCTCGCAGTCGAGACTGACCGAAGGGTTCGTTTGGGTGAATTGCTCCGGCGTGATGCCCTAGTGCTTTCTTTCCTCACATGTAAGACCTTTGACATTATTATACCACTCGACACAGGACGCCGATCGCGGCTAGGTCCCTTTACAACCCCAGACTTCGGCCGCCGGCACAGAAGCACAGGCCGACGAGCGACACAAGCGAGAATAAGGTAGGATTCACGGCAGAGAGAGTAAACGGACGAATCGAGGAAGCGACGAACAAAGGTTCAAAAAACCCCGAGCTGTGGGAGGGGAGAGACCGGGCGAGGCACTGTCTTCCGGGTGGGGAGGGACGAGAGAAGATGGTTTTGGGAACAGTTCAACCCTTTTTTTAAATTTAATAACAAAGCAATAGAAAAAAGGCGCCAACCCATTAGAAAACATTTCCGCCGATGGTGACTTTGCCCGATCCAATGGTTTTTCTTGACCTTACACTAGTGGGTTTTCGTTGGAGCACGCCGTTCTCTTTGCTCAACAGGCTGGAGGGATCCAGAACACTAAGAATAACAGTAGTAGGACTTTGAAGTCTTCGTTTGGTTACTACAAGCACATGCAGTTGGATATATTCCGAGGATACAGCTAAGAGACTGGACCCTTATGTCTCAGTATGTCGCATTGTCAACAGCCTGGACATGTCCAGAGGCAAAATCTGCCCGATTTCTCCCCACTTTTTTGCGCGAGTGATTGCAGACTTGCAGTTTTCCGCCCATGACACCCTGCAAGTCCTCACGGAGTCACACACTCTTATAGAAATAGCCTGATTATCTCCTCTGTGCCCACTTTTATGTTATCTGTCGAAGGCACTGCCTATCCTACACCCACTTTGCCATCTCGCTGGTGGAGGAGCACACGCTAGAAAGGGGCGCTAAAGAACACCATCCCTTGTTATGTCCGCGTCAATTCCTCATCTTCCACCAACGCTCCTGGTCAACGTGTCAAAATTATCTGTCGCTCCCTCCTTTTAACGTTGCATTTCTTGACCTCCAAAACGCCAAGAGGCACGCCATCAGCTGACCCGCCCCACCGAAAAAGTTCCATCGCTAGCACAGCGCAGCATGGCCGCGTTCCACCGTTTCCCCCATCTCCCCTTTGAGCTTCGTGCTCGAATCTGGGAGTTGACAGTCGAGCCGCGCACTGTTGAGGTGGGTGAAAAGAGAGAGCATGGGTCATGGGGCAAGGTTCTGCATGTGACCTCATCAACACCGGTACCTGCAGTCCTTCAGGCCTGCCATGAAGCCCGAAATCAGGGGCTGTACCAGAAGGCCTTTAATTTTCCCACGGGGGTTGAGCCGCGGTATGTTTGGGTCAACTTTGAGATCGATATGATCTCAATTGGGCATACTTGGTTTGATACATTTGAACCTGCTGAACAACTACTATTTCGCCGGCTTACCTTTGAGCGCGAGAATGGTGAATCCTTTTTCCACTTTCAGTCCCATGAGCTTGCAAAGTTTTCTAATCTGGAGGAAATTCATGTCATCTGTGAAGACGGTCTGCTGGCCTGGCAAGATGCCTGGGAATATTGTCCCTGGCCATGTCCAAAAGAGAATCTGAGGTTCATTGACAAGGAGACGGGGCAGATTGCGGTTGGTGAGGACCTGGATAGGATGGTGGATGAATGGATAGCGACTTGGTCTGATCCTGAATGATTATTCAAGCCCCTGTCTTATAGTTTGTGGAACTTGCTGTATTCCGTGGCTCAATATTTAAGAACAGGTGTTTCAAGAAGATACTTAAATCTCAGAACTCACTGCACACTAGCTTTCCCACAATTGATTTTCCTCACTAGATTAGGTACATAGTGTAACCTCAATACATAGCTTTCTCTCCTTTTCCGTATTCCGTATACTGTATCATTGGCTTCAACAGGATCAGCGGTCGGTCCCTCACTACCTTCGGCACGACTGCATCAGGTCTCCGACCCGTTTATACGTCTTAAAGACCGCATAGTGGTCACGCGCTGATCCATCGGTTGTATACCACTGAGTCCGAAAGTCTCTGATGAGTTTGTCAACATTCGGGATGCCTTTGGCCTTGGCCGCATCAGCAGTGGCCTTCCAGTCAACGGTCTCCCATTGCGTCGTGGGATTCGAAATGGGGTTGTCCCCCAAATTCATCAACTTGATATCCATCTCGTTGGGCGTCCCCAACTTGGCTACGGCCGCTTCGATGAGAAATGGACCATGGTCGCCCGCCCGCGCGATGTTGATTTTCTCCAGAGTGGCATCGAACTCCTCCCACAGGTGCTTGTTTGCGTCGGTCTTGTGGAGCCATGCATCTTTGACCAAATTGCCGAGTTTCAAAGTGTAGGCGTTGAAATTGCTGCTTGCGCCCTTCATGGCCTTGTAGGGCGGGAAGTTGGTCACTTTCTTGTTGGGAGGGGTCGTGTACTTCGTGTAGAGCCTCTTAGCTGTCTCTTGGATATTAGGCCTTGTCGTGTCCTGATCTGCTTCGGGAGCGACCAGTTTGTCAGTGGGACGTGTTTTCCCCAGGGTGGCCATGAGTTCATTGAAGTTGCATCTGCCGCCGCCTCTGCCTCTGCACGCTACCCACTCATTGTTCACACAACTTCCGATTTTGTCGTCCCATTTCTTACATTTGAAGCCCAGGGTTTGGTCCTCGGGGTCGTTGAGCCCGTCGATTTGGTAGGCGTGAAAGAACAACACGCGCTCAAGACATCCCTGATATCCTCCGGCCCAGACACTCGCGGCGATGTACGCAAGCGCGAGGAAGAATGAAGTCTTCATAACGAGCAAACAGGAACACAGATTAACATAGACAGCAGAAAGCGGCATACTGAGCAAAATTGAGCAAAGGCAAGAGGAAGGAACCGAAGATAAATGGATATGCCTTCTTGTTTTTTCTTTTTCTCTCTTCTCGACTTTAATTTTTTTTTATTCATTTATTTATATATTTGTTTATCTAATTTCATTTTTATTTTTTGCAACGCAGACCTCTACGCCGGAGCCGAAGTGTTGTGGGGGGCATTCAGCAACTTGCCATCTCTGAACGGCCGAGAGCTATAGTTCACCTCTAGTTGGCGCTAGAAAACAATTCCCTCACAGGGGTTATGGAGTGGATCTCAGGGTTGAAATCAAGGAGATTCCAATGTTACATCCAGGAACACCCTAGGCTCACTCCTGATGCATGATAAAATCATTCAAAGTATCGATGTAGTCGTCAGCTTCCTCCCAGATTATTGTCAAGGGCTTCTCATCTCTTCCGAGTGCCTTTCTTTCCGCAGCCCTCCTTCACCATGAAGCCATCACTGGTCTTCTTCACTACCTTGGTGGCAGGGGCCTTTTCTGCCCATTCTGGCTCCCATCTTCACCTTCACGTCTCCCACCGAGCACGCACATCAGAAGCAATAGACGCTAGAGATGACCAAGGTCTTGACGAATGGCTTGCAGCCAACAAGCGGGCGCCCCCCAGCGCGCTCACGGCATGCCCTCTGTCCTGTCACGAAACCGGTAATAGCAGCTCTGGGGCCGGATGGTTCTTGTTTCCCGATGGGTCAAGGCTCGCTGCGTGCAACGAGACCATGCTACTCAACTTTGTCGTCCAAAACGAAGTTGATGGTGCCAGCAGTCATGGGCCCAAAATGGGCATCAGAGCATGCACAGCCGACTATAGCTCGACGATGCAGGCGGCCTATGAGCCACATGATGAAAGGGCAGCTCTTTGCCCCACTCCCAATCATGCCCTCGTCGAAGCTTCCATCAGAATGTCCCATTCTACCTCTGGGAATGATGATGGCTTTGCCATTCAGGATGTGTTGGCTGCTGGCCGCCAGATTGTCAATTATTTCAGATCACAAAAGCCTTCCTGCGTGGAGAACACCTTGGCTTTTGGGTACTCTCAATCCGCCGTCGTTGGAGTGTTTGCCGGTGCGGAGGTCCACCAGCATGGCGTGACCACGAACGTTCTCAACAATTTGCTCGACTATGCCGAGAAAAACTCGGTCTCAAAAACGACTGTCGTCCAGCTGTGTCAAGCCGACGGCCGCGGCGCAGACTACGGCATCGGTATCATTATAAGCAGTGCAAAGCATCTGCCCGTCGTCCAGGAAGCCGTCAAGACCTGGGTAGACGGACGATGCATCTCTGCGGCGGACGGTGATGAGGACTGGATGACTGTAACTCTGCGCGTCCCTGCCCGTGTCAAGTCAAACTCAGATGCCACTGGGAATATGACGTTATCAACCGCGGCTGCCCACCTGGGGTCACGATCCCGGATTGTTGCCCGGGCGGAATGCCAGACAACCGTGGTCAATCCTGGCGATGGCTGCTGGGCTTTGGCCGACCGGTGCAAGATCACCGACGCCAAATTAAAAGAGTACAATCCCCGTCCAAACTTTTGCAACACTCTTGTTGCCGGCGAGAAGGTCTGCTGCTCTTCCGGCACCTTGCCTGACACTGTCCCTCCTGGAAACTCGGACGGCACCTGCAAGACAAGACAGGTGATAGGCGGCGACATCTGCGACTCCCTGGCGTCCAAATGCGGTCTAAGCCTGCAAGACTTTTACAAGGTGAACACGGGGGCCAATCTGTGCTCGAACCTGAAGGCTGGACAGCATGTGTGCTGCACGCGTGGCAAGCTGCCCGATTTCAGGCCCAAGCCCAATCCCGACGGATCCTGCTCCACGTACACGACCAAGGCAGACGACGACTGCTACGGCATTGCCGCAGCGAATGGCATAACTGTTGCAGACATCGAAGATTTCAACAAAAAGACGTGGGGCTGGAACGGCTGCAAGCTCGCAGTCAACTTCAAGCTGTGTGTGAGCTCAGGAACACCGCCTATGCCTGCCCCTGTTCTGGTAAGTATATGAATATATATGTGCATATGTACACTTCGAACCCGATACAAGTGACCTTTGCAGAATATACGCTGATGTTGCTCTTTAGAACGCTATCTGTGGGCCGACTGTAAGGACTTCCAGACTGCTGCACCAAGCCTGAAATTGTTCGGACTAATATGATTCAAAGGTTCCCGGCACCAAAGAGCCAGCCAAAGGCACCGACCTGTCCAAGCTCAACCCGTGCCCCCTGAAGGTTTGCTGCAACGTGTGGGGTCAATGCGGCACGACAGATGATTTTTGTACTGTGTCCAAATCAGAGACTGGCGCTCCTGGCACTTCTGCGCCCGGCAAAAATGGCTGTAAGTACTTCTATCCAGCAACATCTACTGAAACTCTGGAGAAACACGGCTGATCGCGAAATTTAGGCGTAAGTAACTGCGGAAGAGACATTGTCAAGGGCCCGGCGCCCCTCCGGAAGATCCAGGTAGCATACTTTGAAGCCTGGAACTATAAGCGCAAGTGCTTGACCATGGATGTCGGCCAGATCGACACGGATAAGTATACGCATATCCACTTCGCTTTCGCCGATGTGACAAAGGACTTCAACGTCGATATAAGCGCGGTTAAGGAGCAGTTTGACCTCTTCAAAGGTATGTCCGGGGTCAAGAAGATTATTTCTTTCGGCGGCTGGGACTTTAGTACTATGCCTGGCACTTTCAACATCCTTCGTGAAGCTGTCAAGCCTGCCAACCGGGATATCTTCCAGAGGAATCTCATTGCCTTTGTCAATGAGCACAACCTCGACGGTATCGACCTCGACTGGGAGTATCCTGGAGTAAGTAGCACACGTTTACACATTTTACTTTTACACTACGGACTTGTGTTAATGTAATAAATCCAGGCTCCTGACATTCCCGACATCCCCGCGGGTGACCCGGAGGCGGGTATGGACTACTACCACATGCTCTCCAACGTCAAAAAGGCATTGGGCGGTTTCAAAACAGTCTCCTTCGCAGCCCCGGCTTCCTATCATTATCTGAAATCTTTCCCTATGGAGCAAATGGGCATCCATCTCGATTATATCATCTACATGACCTACGATCTCCACGGCCAGTGGGACTACGACAACAAGTGGACTTCGTCCGGCTGTCCCAGCGGCAACTGTTTAAGGTCCCATGTGAACGAGACAGAGACCAAAGATGCCCTGTCGATGATCACCAAGGCTGGCGTGCCCTCTAGAAAGGTGGTTGTCGGTGTGGCCAGCTACGGCCGGTCGTTCAAGATGGCCGAGGCCGGTTGCACTGGGCCAATGTGCAAATTCACCGGTACGTCACGCATATCCAATGCTGCAAAAGGACGCTGCACAGACACGGGCGGCTACATCTCCAACGCGGAGATTGATGAGATCATCAACAGCGGCAAAGTCACCAAGCAGTGGACAGATGTCGGCTCCAACTTCCTGGTCTACAACGACACCGAGTGGGTGGCGTATATGGATGATGACATGAAGGCTGCTCGTGCGAAGTTCTATGATTCATACAACTTTGCTGGAACCACAGACTGGGCCGTTGACCTGCAGGAGTTTAAAGAGTAAGTGCTCTGAGCTGAGCCCCATGGACCTTGCACGCCTCCTGCAATGATATGTTCATGGTACTAACTCTCCGCAGTGGCAGCGGCGGTGATGACTACCCTGACGATTACGAACCCTACATCGACACCAGCATGTACCCAGAGTGTGTAACCAAGTACACTACCTTCAAGGAGCTGGACGACCACAAGGATTCGATCCCTTCTCACTGCATGGAGCAATACATTTTCAATGTTGAGGTCGCCGTCATGGAAGCAGCCTTGGAGAAGTACAAGAACCTGGTCAACAATGGCTACGATGAAAAGTTTAAAATCTATGCAGGCTACGTCGACGACCAAGTCCAGGACCAAATCGACGCCTTCATGGGCAGCGGCAAGGCGGACAAGTACTTCAAGTGCACGGAGACCAAGGACGTCATGTGCTGCTCCAAATGCAACATTCCCCAATGTATGCTGGATTGTGACAAGTCCAAGGATTGTAATGGTAGGGTTACAGTCGATATCACTTGCCCGACAACTCTCAAGAGCGGTTCCAGCGGCATCATTGCAGTAGGTGATCATTTTCCCAACGCCACATACACGCTGCAAGACTCCGAGGGCTTCTGGAAGGACATTGGTGCCGAATACGGCATCGAGGAGTCGTGGGTCAAGTTTGGCAGAAGGTATGTCAGGGCCGGCAATGGCTGTCAGTACGCTGGCGAGGATGTCAAGGACTGCATCGACAAGCAGATCAGTGGGTTTTACAACTATCCCATGAAAGACACAGTCAAGGTCTACAACCCCAAGGACCTTATCGGCGACTCGTACGGCAAGACCGAGGACCTCCTTTACCGTCTCAAGATCGTCAGGGACAATGCCGATTACGACGAGCTCATGCAGTGGTCCGACCTGGTCGACGCCGGATCCCTACCCGCGTTGACGATACAAACTGCCGTCGAGAGTATGGACAAGATTGTCAAGTCTGCCAAGGATATCAGTAAGAAAGAGCGCGAGGAGTTCATTGTCAACTTTCTCACAGGCTTGCTCTTCTTCATTCCCTTCGTGGGAGAGGCCGCCGGCGCCACTGGTCTGACGGCGGTTCGCTCCATGTTGCGCCTGGCAGGCGCAGCTGGCGAGACGGGCCTGCTGGTGCATGACATTATCGAGCGCCCTGAAAATGCCTTTATGAGTGTCTTTAGCTACTTGGCCGGGGCCGGAGTTGGGCGAGCCGGGTTTAAGAACGCTGCCAATGCGAGACGGTCCATGAAGGCCAGCGACATTAACAATCTGGGGCCAATGAAGGTGGATTTGGACCTGATTGAGACTGTGCGTGGCGTCACTTGTCGTATCTGAGGTTGAACCTTGTCTATCGACCGGCCCAGCCACGCCACTATACAGAAGAAATGAGGGAAAATAAACCCTCCGTCAGGACTCACCTGGCCAGTAATACAAATGTGGTCTGATGAGGACGCCACAACTATATAATCTTAGTTATTCAACGATCAATTGATATAACAAACTTCGGACACAATTCACAATTTACCCGAATACCCAAGCCTACGATTGCTACCAAGACTGGTGCCGACTAGCGTGTCTCGTATTGGCCATGATCAACCATTCCGAAAATAGAATTAAACGAGCTCTTTAGCCCGTGTCCTCGTATTTTAAATATACACTCGAGTCTCAAGATAAACTTCCTGTGAAAGCAATAAATATCACAAATCTTCTAGTAGGTTACCCGATTCAACTTCGGAACCTTGGACGTGAAGCCAGATCCAAAAACGGTAAGCAGTCACGCACCACAATAATGATGGGGTCTTGCTTTGCGTTGGCTAATGTCGCCTCGACGGCGCTTTATACTTAGAAGGCGATGATGGAGGATGAGTATACGATTTAGCACTCTGGTATGTGGTGGGATGGAGGGTGGTTTGGGTGTTGTTGTGGCCCCTTGAGTGAAAATCGATCTGTTAGAGTTAATGATGCTCGAGCTGAGGATGTATCTCCCATTTTGATGAGCTTGCTCCCTGTAATCGATCAATAATAAACGCTCCATTTTCTCAAATTTTCCACAGGAGCAAGAAACGGCACCTGAAGCTGCAAGGGACAGGTAACTTAATGGAGAGGGATACGAGCTTCGTGTTCTATGGCAATATCACCACCCGGCCTGAGGTCACATCGCTCTACGCTTGAACCTCACAAACAGTGAAATGGGAGCTAATATGCACTTGGCGGCCAAGAGTGCTTAACTCCTTCTGGATTGATTCGGCGACGTGTCTCCCCATTGGCGGATCGAGGCAACATATCCAAGATTCCGCGGTCAGAGTCTCTATATATGTTTCGCCGATCTTCGTGTTTCTCGTATCGCCATTTGCTCAGGTACCTATATGCCGTCAGACCACCCTCTAGCTGAGAAGGAGATGCGTCTCCAAGAGGTCTATTTAACATCGCAACTCTCCAACTTTGAAGCTCTTTTGCATACTCCCTCACCTTCCCTTCACCACCCGCCCCCGACCAAAATCCATCCAATCCTCCAGTCGCCATGCGAGCCACCTTCTTTGTTCTCCTCACAGCCCTAACAGGCGTGATTGCCAAAATCCCCAACTCCCCCCGATTCGATCTCACAAAACCCTCGTATGACCTCTGGCGGGACAAGAAAACCGCCGCCATAACCGTCCAACAATCATTCACCTTTGACAACGTCAACCGCCGCCTCTTCATCGTAAACCGTCGCGATGGCTCCGCCCTCGACTCGGGAGACTTAACAATCAGCCAACTCGACTTCTCGGGAAAAGTCCTCGGCTCGATGAACCTGATCGGCTGCGGTCACGGTGTGAATATCGCCGCGGAACCAGTCGGAAGCGATACGTACATCTGGAGTGAAACCGACGCCGCAGCAAGCGGGTACGGGAGCGCACTGTGGAAGTTCAAGTTTCAGAATGGGAAGACGTTGAATAGCGCCACGGATAAGCGGAAGCGGATTGTGCCGTTTCCGGAGTTCGATAGGGGGACTGCAACAATTGATCCCGTTTATAAGCGATTAATCATGCGATACCAGACTGGAACCGTGCAGAATATCGCCGCATTTGACCTTGCCGAGGCAAGCGCAGGCAATTTTTCGAATCCGCTGGCGAACTGGAAGATTCCGGATCTCGTTAGCGGGCTTGGGGCAATGGTTAATGTGTTTCAGGGGTATACAGCTTACGGGCGGTATGTCTATTTCCTGACTGGGGAATCCTATGACGCTAGCGGCGGTAAGTTGAATTCTCAGGTTATGGCTCTGGATTTGGAAAATGGGAAGCTTGTGCAGGGGCCTGTCATGACGAAGGCTGGGTCGACGTTAAAGTTTCGTGAGCCGGAGGGGATGGCGATTTATAAGACAGCCGATGGGGAGGTGAGGCTTTTCTTGGGGTTTGCATCGGGGGTTGCAGGAGACCGGAGGAGTAATCTGTTTTATAAGAACGCGTTGATATAAGGGTTGTTGATGTTGTGAGGAGCGTGAGGGAGCAAAGGTGTATATATCATGTCTGGGACCGAAACAAACCTACCGGGAACAGCCTGCTCGGCCCCAAGAACCCATGGGACTCTTCATGAATTTTCTGAGGCACGGATAATGGAAGTGCATATCTACCAGTACAGTAGGATAAAGCAACCAAAATGAGGGTATAGATTTGCTCTGGGCTGATCTACTCGACATTGGTATGAGATATTTTTCGCTCCAAAACAGGAGTTCCGTAACTACGTTGGCTTCCTTGGACACCGGTAAAGTCCACAGACTTCTGCCGACATATTGTAGCGCAAAATCGTCCTCTAACGTCGGATGGGCCTGGGCTGGCCAGAGTTATCGCCTCAATTATCAGCTGTGCTCGGGACTTAGGAAGTGCGAGAACTTGGGTAGGTGGCGTCGTATCGGGCCTTATAACCCTTTCCCCACCTACCGATTGAGTTCCCCCGGTGCCATATATGTTTCTCATTCCCTCTGCCTCCGCTGGCCGTCGTTTTTCCGACATTGTCGGGCTCCAACACTGTGTCTTTGCCATGTCGACGCCGGTTTCCACCCGTGGACAGACAGACGCTGCCGAGTCACAGCACGTTCTGGCATGCGTGCTGTGTCAACATCACAAGATTAAGTGTGACCGGACATTCCCTTGCGCCAACTGTGTCCGGGCTGGAGCACAGAGTGTGCAAACACCACAGCTGCGGCGCCGTAGGTTTCCTGAGAGAGAGCTACTGAAGCACTTACGACCCTTGAAAGCTTGCTTCGCCTGCACAACATCAAGTTCGATCCTCTCCACACACCACCTGCAGAGCACAGGTCTCCCAGTGAGGACGCTGCCCAGTCAGTAGCAACCATCCCCAAGACGGATGGGCCCCGGTCGAGAGAAAGGACAGCAGTCAAATCTACATCTGTGTACGGGCAAAGGCCTTGCTTTCCGAAAGGGCACATTCTCTGCATAACTAACCATCATTGCAAAAATATCTGCCATGGCATGAGGCAAAAGGCATTGTAACCCTGCCACTAAGGCTTGAGTCTCACTAATGATCGGAAAAGACCATAGGCTCCAAGGCGGTTGAGGAAAACGATACTAGAGATGATGAAAATGATGCCCGCTCCATGCACGACAATGATGACCTACGTCAAGGGGTGATCAAGAAGGCATGGAATCACATATTCCAAGGCCAAGGCAACAACCACCTTCTATTAGGTTTGACTATAGGGAACGTTGATCTCTCTGCATCACACCCAAGCCAGGTACAAATCTTCAAACTCTGGCGGATTTATTTGGACAATGTCAATCCTCTTCTCAAAGTCACGCACGCACCAACCCTCCAGACACACATCATCGACGCTGCTAGCAACATTTCCAGTCTTAGTCCCACACTGGAGGCATTGATATTCAGTATCTACCGTGTCTCAATCCTAAGCCTCGCCGACAATGAGTGCACTGCCGTATTTGGTGTCCCAAAGAAGGATCTGCTCACAGGCTATCAGTTCGCATGCCGACAAGCTCTGCAGAACCGCGATTTTTTGCAATCCAGTAACCGTGACTGCTTGACCGCGTTGTATCTCTATCTAGTAAGCCTGTCCGATTTTATTGTACCCTTATATTCTAATTGCTCTAGGTATCTATCCGGGCCGACACGGACCCCGCGTCTCTGTCCTCATTGCTCAGCGTTGCCATACGGATCGCTCAAAGAATGGGTATTCACGACGAGACTATGTATGGTGAATGCCCGGCTCTAGAGGCGCAAATGCGTCGGCGATTGTGGTGGTCTCTTATCATCTTTGACAACCGCATTTGCGAGATGTTCGATAACAAGACTGCGGCACTGGGCCCTACCTGGGACTGCAGCATTCCATTAAACTTGAATGACTTTGAGCTTCAGCCAGAGATGAAGACCGCGCCAGCAACGAACAACAGACCCACTGAGATGCTTTTTGCCGTTATACTCAGCGAGCTGGCCGACTTCGTCCGCCACAGTGCCTTTCACCTCGACTTCACCAATCCGTCATTGAAAAAGATTGCTGGTCAGCACAGCATCGCCGAGGAGGCCGACAGGCTGATTGCATTGGAGAAGACGTTGGAGGAAATGTATCTTGCATTCTGCACCTCAGAGAGCCCACTTCACTCTATGACCATCTGTACAACGCGGGGCCACCTGGCAAAATATCGATTCCTGCAGCACTGGAGACATTCAATGGCTTCCGTGCAACAGACGGGTGCGCAACGCAACGTCGCCATATCCCATGCGCTGTCCATGCTCGAGTGCGATACGAATCCCATGACGTCGCCACTCACCAAAGGCTACCTTTGATTTCTTCACGTCCACTTTCCTTTCACAGCTTACATTCACTTCCTGCATGATTTGAAGGAGCGGCCTGTTGGGGCCGACGCAGACCAGGCCTGGGAGGTCATGAGCAAGAATTATGAGGTTCGCATCCAGGGTGCGAAGCAAACCGATAGGCCCTTTTTTACTATTTTCTCTAGAATTGTCTTCCAGGTCTGGGAGGCGCGAGAGAATCAAGCCAGACGACGAGACAGGCCACTGGTGCTACCACGTATCGTGTCCAATATCCGAAATAAAGCGATCCAAGTGACGGCCGATTTCTCATCTGATGGTAACACAAACCAGCATGGCGGATGCTTGGATGCCAGCTTGGACGATGTGTCGACAATGCCCACGCAGATGGACTTTATTGCCCCTTGTATGGCCTACGGCACTAGAGGGCAGTGATCCACCGGGATTGAGCCCTTGAGCCACCCTCAATCGCCTGGACCGACTCCAGTAGACGTCGGTGCGAATCAGTTTCTTTTAAACATGATGGCATGGAATGCGCTGCAGGGTGCACCAGCAACTTGGCTTTGGCTTTAAGCATAGTACGGGTGGGCGGGTGGCGCCGCCAACTCCGGAATCTTAAATCATGTCTGGAAAGGGTGGCCCAATCAAGGCGCGAGGAGTTGCCCCCACTGATCCACTGATCCCCGCGGACGGACACCGTAATACGCGAGCCACCCATGACTGGCAGATCAGTCGGACATTCTACTGCCCGAGGAGCAACTTGTCCCTGTTACCAGTATTCCAGGATACCATAGTCGGGGAAGCGAAAGCCGAATGCCCTTCCTTCTACGCCGCTTTTTTAAACTACGTCCCGACATCCATGTCCGAAACCCGAATGACCGCATCCGGACGGTTAGGAATAATACAAAATGACACGAAGAACCCAAGAAGTGTAGGGAACACCATGAATTACATTGCATAGCATTGTCCACCGCTATGGTCACATATGCTGTCCTTGACGCCACTGGGAACTGCGGCACCGCGCTCATCGATAATCTGCTGCGTAAGAGAGACGACAAGATCAACGCATACTGCCGCAACAAGACCAAGCTCATCCAAAAGGTCCCCGAGATAGCCAACAACAAACGCGTACGCGTATTTGAAGGGAGCATCTATGATATCGATCTCCTGTCGGTATGCATCTGCAACACTCCAGCCATCTTCCACGTGGTGACCACCAATGATAACATCCCCGGCTGCCATGTCGGCCTGGACACGGCAAAGAGCATAATCGTCGCACTGGAGAAACTCAAGATTGCCTCGCAGCTGACAGATCCGCTGCCAAGAATTCTCTTCCTTTCGTGCGGCACGATCGACGACCATCTTAGCCTAACCCTGCCGTGGTGGTTCAGACCAATCCTCCGCACTGCGGCCTCGCATGTCTACGAGGACCTGCGCAGGACGGAGGCCTACCAAGAATTCAGCCATACAAAAGCTAATATTATTTGTTTGGTTACTAAAAGCTTCAGAACGTCGTGGACATGAAGTGAACGCAACAAGTATCTTCACAATTCCATCCTCTTCTTCGGCGAAAACCTCATGGGCCGTGACTTGCGTATCTTGGCCGTAGGTGGTCAACTTGCCGCATGCTTGAACTATGAGTGCACATTTCACCCAATATATCGCTCTTCTATCTCTCTTACTGCTGAACTAGCACATACGACCATAGGGTGTGGAAAACAGGGCTTCCCGTCCGCTCAGCCGTACTTAAGCCACACGCCGGCCGGTTAGTAGTTGGGTGGGTGACCACCAGCGAATCCCGGCTGTTGTATGTTTTTAGGTTCACATACTCTTTTTCATTTATTGATGTCTTCTACTTCTAGCGTCTACTGACCAGTGATGTCAGCTACCATGTAAATATATATGACATTAGGTAACAGAGGCCAAACAAATGGCTAATATAGCCTGATCTTAGGTTAAGTAGATATATAGAAGTACCCTTCCTCGTACTTTATTTATTTCTCTATACATAGGGAAACTTACTGTAGTTATTATATAAGATTATTTTGTCCCCTCTGACCGCCTGCACGGCTTTGCGGGGACATGAGTCAGCTCCTTACCTTGACTTATATTTACTGTCCTGAGTCCCGACTTAGGAAGCGAGCGACAAGTCTACGCCTCTTCTTGATCGACTTGGCTAGGATGTCTGCTCAGTCCGGATATCACATGGCCAACACAGCATCGGGGACAGAAAGCCAGCCTTCCCACCGCGATGTTACCTCCCGATCAGCATCACTCGTCACCGAATCGACGTCTTTGCTGAGGCCTGACAGACCTGATTATGGCGATGCGCATGGCGCAGGCTCAACATATGGCTCGCCGTCGCCGAATTGTGACACTTCCAACGAGGTTGAGGAAAAACCTCTTCCCACGCGCCAAATTCTACTGCTATGCTATGTACGAGTGGTTGAGCCATTGGCCTTCTTCTCCATTTTCCCCTACATTAGCCAGATGGTGCAAGAAAATGGAAACGTTCCAGACTCGGACATTGGCTTCTACTGCGGACTGATCGAGTCGATGTTCTCTCTTACACAGGCCATCGTCATGATCTTCTGGGGCCGAGCAGCCGATCTCATCGGACGAAAGCCTGTTCTGGTGTCTTCCTTGTTCGGCGTGACATTTGCGACTGCTCTTTTTGGACTGGCGAAGAGCATCCCGCAGATGATACTATTTAGATGCATTGCCGGCATTTTTGCGGGGACTATCGTCACCATCCGCACCATGATAGCCGAACACAGCACACCCAAGACCCAGGCTCGTGCATTTAGCTGGTTTGCTTTCACTGGAAACCTAGGCATTTTCCTGGGTCCTCTGATCGGTGGCGCCCTTGCTAACCCCACACGCCAGTACCCGGGCGCTTTCGGGTCTATCGAGTTCTTGAAAAAGTACCCTTACGCCCTTTCAAGTCTAATAATAGCCCTCATCGGGGCGACCGCTGCTGTGTCTAGTCTCTTGTTTATTGAAGAGACTTTGAAGAAAGAAGCGCCTTATATGGACCGTGACAGCGAAGATCGGTTAGATGCGCCAGTCCAACGCGACCTCTCAACCACGCAGCTTCTCAAAGCACCCGGTGTAAGCAGGGTACTCTTCGTCTTCGCACATATCACGATCCTTGCATTCGCGTATACTGCGATTATTCCCGTCTTTTGGTATACTCCTGTGCGCCTCGGAGGCTTCAATTTCACCCCCTTTCAAATTTCCCTGATGATGGGACTGAATGGCGCAGCTCAGGCTGCATGGCTGCTACTGGTATTCCCTCCACTACATCGCAAAGTCGGATCGAACAGAGTGATCCGACTCTGTGCACTTGCCTACCCTTGGTTTTTCCTGTGCTTTCCTCTCGGAAACGTGCTACTGCGCATGGATACTGAGGGTTCGCTTAGGGTTTTTTGGGTGTTCATGCCGGTGGCACTGGCCCTTGGAAGTGGTGTTGCGATGAGTTTCACAGCAATTCAGCTTGCCGTCAATGATATCGCACCCTCGCCCATGTACCTGGGCACTCTCAATGCCATCGCCTTGACTGGTTCCAGTGGACTGAGAGCTTTCTGCCCGGCATTGTTTACCAGTCTCTTTGCATTGGGTACGAGGACACAGCTGACTGGAGGCTACGCAATCTGGATTTTGATGTTTGCCCTTAGTGCCACCTTGTTCATGTCAGCGAAGTATCTTCCAGAGCCTGAGGCCCACAAAACGCAAGGCGATTAATGAAAGATAATGTGGGGATTTGACACATGGAGTACAGATGAAAGAATGTGATGCTACGAAGGTAAGCGTTGAACATGGAATCTACTCCCTAAATGGGGGCGGGGGCCTTTCTTATCCCTCGATGGCTTGAACGCACAAAATACCATGAAATATTTGGAAAATAAAGGATTATTTTCGCACACTGAGCCGAGAGACATGTGGTGTGCGTCTTGCATTCTGGGACTGGAGGAAGATTTCCGATCTCCTTCATGATAGCAAAAGTTCATCGGTTGCCATCTCGTAGATAGGCAGAGAGACACCCAGATAAGTCCCTTGCCTCTGTCATCAACACACCAAAATTCGAAATCATGATGTTTTGTTTGTTTGCTTTTCCAATATTGAAGGGAATAGAATGATGCATACTTCAAGCGCATGTCCTTTTGATTATTCATGTGCTGCAGTCAGTGGCTCTACTAGCCATCCAAGACGATCTAGGAGGTCATTTAGAGATGTTTCCGCTGGGTCGCCTAGCTTCGCGTGAGATACCCAGAATGTTATGGTATAGTGTTGCAAGGGAAGCCTAGATTTGTCCTTCCAACCGAGAGGTCTAGACTGGGAGACTACAGCTATCCTGAAATAACGGATGCAGGAACGGGATAGGTGACAATAGGAAGCAGGGCCTACCAAGTCAGTTACTCTAGTCGGATCCAGAATCAACAACCCCTGCTCGATAAAGAAGTCGTTGACTAACTAACTGGCGAATAAACTGAACGACGCGAGCATTTGTGGTTTGCACGACTTTGCGAGTCCCTAGCTTAGGGTCTTGATTCTTCTATCGATATCTTTGTCAGCAATAAAGTCATCCGACTGGTAAAATTCGTAGAGAGACTTATTTTCGCAATCAGGATTAATTAACTGCTATAAACCATTTTGCAGTTCGACCGTCGTCAAAGGTCTCCTAGAGGAGCAGATCCACTGCACTAGCTCCAGGGCGTCCGGGCAATCCTTTATACCCTAAATAAGCTGAAAATATAGTTCATGTAAACCTTAAGGGGGCCCATTTAATTTCTGCCTTGATCGTGCCTTTCAGTTCGGCCTCGCGCTCTATCTGCAGCACGCGTTCCACAACCAAGTGTGCCCGCATGAAGGCACCTTGGGCGCGGGTTTATAATTTCTTCCTGCATTCGAGCGTCTACATCACTTGTGGAAAAGCTGGCTCGAACGGAAAGCGGCAATATCCGCATTATTTTCTCTGTCTAGCACTATAGTTATTAGTTATTCCTCCTTACAGATCTAGAGTAGGGTAGTGACGACAAAGAAAGCAGATACCGAGCCGAGAATCCGTCGATGGGAGACTTCAACGTGGACGTTTGAGGTTTTTTTATCAATTTAACGGCTGGGTCTTCGCCGCATTCATCAAGCGCGTCAATGCAGAGTATGCCTGAAAACCTTTTCAGGATTCTCGCTAGCGATGATTTGAAAAAAAAAAAAAAAAAAAAAAAAAAAGGTTGTAGTTGTAGCTCCCACTTCCACTTGTCTCCAGGCTCACCGATTGTCTTTCGCCGTTCTTCAAAATGGTTGATCAGGTCGATGAGCGCATCCGGCACACCCTTGAGTAACTGGTGGAGGAGGGATTCGTAGAGCCCAAGTGAAGTTTTCTGACAGGATGTTGATTGATGTCCAGATCATGTTAGTGGCCTGGACACTAAGCAAACTACTTTAGCCCAAGGCGATGTTGAAGTCAACCCTGTCGTTGATTTGGCCAATCCTGGGTTAGGATTCAATGGGATACACAAGTGCCAAGAGACTACTGTTTTATCCAGATCGGGGTTAACCAATAACGCTGCATCTGAGCGCAGGTAAGAGAGGGTCAGTGCGGTGGTCGCTCGACGGAGGGTGAGAATCACCCGCTCTCACCCATCTTCTCACCCCGTCTATTGCGCACTCAACCTACTCACCCTCACGCTAAAGCAGCGCTCGATACCTCTTATTCAGGAACGTTCAGAGTATATGATTTCTTCCAATCCTCCTTCCAGTACATACGACCACAGGGTGTGGAGAACAGGGCCTCCCGTCCGCTCAGCCGTACTTAAGCGAGTATTATCAACGTGGTCAGAAGTTATATGCGCCCTTGAAGGCCTGCTGCTTTACGGGTGATTTGACGCACCGCATTTACTACATACCCTGGTACATACCGAGATAAGGAGTGAACTGACTATTTTGAAGACCCGGTCTTTAGCTGTGAGAGAACTTGAAGAGTAAGAAACCCATGAGAAAGCTGGCGAGCCAATCGAGCCACCAAAGGACTACCGGATCGCGAGTCAGGTTACAAGTTAATATATAATGTGTATACGGTTGAAGATCTAAGCCGAAACTTCTCTGTCTATCGGCCAATGCTGCGCAGATTATGCACCATTACGGAAAGAGGGTAACATTACAGGATGTACATGTACATCCTACGGTGAAGAGACTGGAAGGGCTTATTTAAAGCACTATAGATAAGAGGAGCTGTGCTTCGAATACCGCACGCTGGGAAATGGATGCCCGTCCTTGTAGATGATGTATTGACACTCCCAGAGTGGCAAAATGCCCAGGAAGGCAAAGTTTTCCTTACTGGAGCAACTGGGTTCGCTGGAGCCTATATGCTGGCCCGGCTTTTATCCATGCCGACTGTCAAGAAAGTAGCCTGCTTAGCTCGAGGCCGGGGCGAACAAACACCGGCGAACCGCATTCAGCAGGCCCTGGAGAAGTACCGGTTATGGGATGGCAGCCTCGAGAGGGCACAGAAAATCATCGTCATTGAGGGAGACCTGGCGGATGACGCTCTGGGTATGGCGGAAGATCAATACAGATGGCTCCCAAATGGGCCAGTGCTATCTTCCATGTGGGAGCAAGGGTCAATTGGTGCGAGCCCTACGAGGCTCACTTCGAATCTAATGTCCTAGGTACACGGAACGTTATTAAGCTCGCTGGCAACGGCCGACTGAAACCGCTCCATTATCTCTCCTCTATTGATGCATGGAACGTAACTGGATTCATTAATAAAACCAAGCAAGTGCTTGAGGATGAGCCACTCAAACCCCATGCAGCATTATTGCCATATGACATGGGATACGCGCAGAGTCAATGGGTGGCAGATGAGATGGTCCAGAGAGCAAGAGCTCGTAGTCTACCCACAGTTATCTATCGGCCAGGCTTCATACTTGGAGACAGCGAACGGGCCATTGGAAATCCCGACGATTTTTTTTGCACGCTTTATTATGTCGTGCATCCAAATCAGATATTATCCCCATCTTCCTCACCAACGGTTGGAGTACGTGACAGTCGATTATGTGTGCTCAGCCATGCTCCATATTGCGTCCAAGTTTGAAAATCTCGGCCGAGCCTACCATCTGCTTTCACCCGATCCCGCCAAATCTGTCAGCATCGAAGGAACATATCAGTTGCTGATCCGAGCGGGATTTCCGATGGAAAAAATTTCCTACCATGACTGGGTGAGCAAGATCCAAGAGCACTCAGAAAGTCCCCTGCAGCCAATGCTCCCAATGCTGCAGGAGCCGGTGTTTAAGGACTTCACACGGATGCAGACAAGCACAGAGACACCCGTGTACAACACTCAGAATGCCGTGCAAGCACTGGCGGACCGGCCGGAAATCAAGTATATCCCATTGAGTGAGTTACTAAGACGATATGTGGACTTTTGGGTCGAGAGACATTACTACAGCCTCTGACATGAGGTAATGGCTAAGCTGGTGGGAGCACAACCGAGAATAGTTCTGTTTGATGCGATGGACATGGAAACGAGGACGTAAAAGCTTATTGCATTCCAGGGAACTAGGACAGAAAAAAGCCTTTATCCGGCGGTATACGCCTGACTACAAAGTTGCACTTTGTTATAAAAATACTTCAATTTGTTTAATTTACCCAGAGATTAGAATAAATGACCTGCTAGTAGATCATTGATGAATGGTAGCTGGATGTCATCTGTATACTTTGGCTCTGTTCAGTGGGTCCTTTTGAAAACTCGTTATCTTACACTGGTTATGGCCAGGTTGAGCAGGAAAATTTGCATGTACATGGATAGTGAACAGTCCGGATGGATTTATATAGTAGTGTCCTTGATTGTGAGACTTGGGTCACGCTTCTAAGTCAAGAAAAAATGTGTGCCCCCGATTAGAATATTGCCCTTACACAAATGAATACTGTCCAGGCTCATATTTGTGTAGAAGAGGGTACTCTGTATATCGTATTCTACTGGAATTGGGATCTTTCGGCAGTCCTTCAAACTGAAAGGTCACATCTACTTCTCTAATATTCCCACGATGTGTGGCATCTGAGCGAAAGAACTTTCATTTGCGCCAGGCCGCAGGTCCGTCATGTTCCATTTGCCACTTTGCAACAGCAGATCCTCTGTTTCGAGTCAATGAGCATCTGTCGAAAAAAAGTGGCCAGATGATGTCAATAACAGCTATGAAAGATTAAATTAGACGCATCCTGCAGAATATATTCAATTCACTAACCTTGCAAAACACCAGCCACTGATCGCCTCTCTGCCTTGACATGTTCGTACACCAGCCACTGCCCAGCTGGCTTGAGTTACTGGTATAACACCTTGATCAGTGGTTTGGAATCTTCAACGCTGCATAGCACATTTATTGTGCAGACCGTATACACTGTTCCAGGTTGCACACCCAACATTTCAAGATCTTCCACCCATTTAACAATCAGGCATTTCCTTACGAGCCCCAATTCTGTCACCCTTCTTTGTAGTACAGGATAGAACTCTGGATTGGGTTCGACCAGATATATCTTCACGATATTCTTATTCCGCGCTTCAGAAAGCAGGTACAGCCAATCACCTGAGCCAGAGCCGACATCAATGACCACACCACGGGCAGCAGAGAGGATTTTCTCCACATCAGGGGCGTAGAGTGGCCTGGATGCCCAGCCGAAGAAGTGCCAGAAGTGGAAGAACCAGGCGTGTCGGAAGGTTTGCCAGGAGGTCAGGTCGGAGAATCTTCTATTTTTGAGAAGGGTGATGAGAGTGATGGGGAGATAGAGAATTGCTATGATGAAAACAAAGACAGGCATTAAGAGGTCGAATATCCCCAGATTCATTATGAGGAGTATTCCAAAGAATCATCACCAGAATGAGTCTCTCGTCGTTCGCGCTGCGGTTCAAAGCAACAAAGTTAATTCCTTTCCTTTTGAGAAAAGGCAACGTATCTATGCCTCTGATTGCACAGGTGATAGATCTGATCATGACGTCAATTTCATCCAGAAGATCCTTATTACAGAAGACAGAGATAGACGGCATTCTCCGTCGCTGTGGCTGCCTGGACACAACCATTGCCCTTTGACACTCGATCAATTTACCTGGTATAGAGTAAGGTAACCACTTTGTGCTCGGTTCAACCAGTATTCGAAAGATCGCTAGGGTCTAGGTTTGGCTTAACGACTTAAGCCTTGAGATCTTGTCGCATCGTGTGGCGAAGTTTAGACAACCAACCATAGATAGGGTGGATCGCTGCATAATCTTGTGAAAAATTTGGCTGTGGAGACGAATTTTCAAGATTAGCTTTTCATTCACTCTAGGCCGAAAGGAGAAAATGCAATAATAGTTTAATAATGTCCTCCCAGACGTCATAAACGCTCATTGCATTAATACAGATTAGAATCATACAGTGATGCATGCAAGCCGCTCAATCCAAACTTCTTGATAGTTACTAGCTTTCACATTTGGAAATCACTCCCCAGTTGATAGATGACGGCATAGACCTTTTTGTCTTATACCCACCCATAGAAGTTTATTGTCTTTTAACATCAGATCGTTTGTACGGTCGGCCACACAAGTTTCTGTTACCTTATGGGTCTCTCCCGCGAACCACTTTTCTACCACGGCCTTCTCAACCCATGGAACCATGTCGAGTAGCCTCGGAGAGAATTTGGCACTGGTAAGAAGTGCGGAGATTAAACTAAGTCTCTATTGCTGTGGAATTGTCCCGGGGTCTGAATTGAAGGCGTGTAAAATGCTTCAAATCCCGCCGCCTACAGTTTACGTCGTTCTCCTGTCATTCTTCTGTGGAACCACACTACATGGTAGATTCTTTGGCCGTTTGTGATTGAGCATCTCATATATAAAATGGGTCTGGCACAGTGTCCCATAGTGAGCGATTAAGGTTGTATAGCTTGATATGGAGCACATACAGAGACCTAACTACCAACGCTATGCCGGAAGTAATTACTAAATTTGCTGTGGATGGACGGTTTGTGTCTTAGCAATAGAGTTTCACCCTTCGCCGCAGACCTTGAGGATATCAAAACTCGAAGTCATCTTAGAAGCGATGTTTATTACACTTCCTGTTAGCCTTTGGGGTCATAGAAGCTCAATCTTAGTGGACAACTTCACAGCCAGCGGAACCTTGAATATCGTGGGATATGATTCAATCTCTGTGCGCTGCGTGTTTTCCAAAGGCTAAGCTCTCAATTTCTGCCATGATACGATCAACCTGCAAAGTCAAAACCGTTGGAGTAGTTTTTCCTCAAACGTACAGCAAGATTCGCTGGGTAGACGTAACCGTGATGCACAATTGCCACATATGATCCGCATGCCACTGTAGTGGTCATCGAGTGCTGCTCGACAGAAACCGTGAAATCCTTCTTGGACGTATACTGTGACATGAGGCAGGTAATAAGTATAAATGTTGGATGCCTGGACCCAATTCAAATCGCTCAAAAAGGCATTGACCACGCACAGCTCAGGAAAACAAGGCTCCACTGTGTCAAGATTTATTGTGCTATATCTCATTTGCTTTAGTCCCTTATTAGTTGCGGCCATTATCTAATTTTTACTTGTCAATATGGACCATTATCTCTCCACTCACGCCAGTCAAAAGCCTGACTCCATTGCTGTGGAAGATGATTCTCAAAGGCTGACATACAAAGATCTGGAGACTGAAGTTGACAAGCTGGCTTCGGCTCTGAAAGGGCTTCGATTGAATGCTGAAGAGCCGATTTGTATCTTGGAAGAAATAAACTCGAAACTAGTCATTGCTCAGCTTGCAGTCATTAGAGCCGGGCTGACCTGCGTTCCAATGGGACTGTCTCTTCCTAAGCTTCGTCTAATCGATATGCTCAACGATATTGGGGCCAAATATGTCCTGTCAGATAGGAACAACATCACTGATGGCACTGAATTTACCTTGATACCTATCTCAGGACATTCTAGCCCTGAATACGAGTCGGATGCGCAGGAGGATGGTCAAGTTAATGGCGTGTCACAGCACGACGAACCTCACGAATACCGCAGCCACATCCTCTTTACATCTGGATCAAGTGGAAAGCCAAAGGCTGTTCAGATTCCTGAGAGAGCCGTTCTTCATTTAGTCACTAATACACCTATTACGCCTCTGAGAGATTCCGACCGTGTTGCCCTCATAAACAGTCCTGGCTTTGATATTTCTATTTTTGAAGTATTTTCTGCACTTGTCGCGGGCGCAGCGATGATCCCCGTGCCCCGTATGGTGGTTGCGGATCCTTTCATGTTCCGAGAATTTGTCACGGAGAAGAAAGTCTCGATAGTTTTCTTAACAGCAGCCCTGTTCTCCATTATCGGGCATGCTTGCCCAAATGCCTTTCGCGGTGTTCGGCATCTGCTCAGTGCAGGAGATGTTCCCAGTGCAGCTGCCATGCAAAAAATCTTTGAAGCAACCGGGGCACCAGAACATCTGTGGAACACGTACGGCCCGACAGAAACAACGACCTATTCTACAGTTCATGAAGTCAACGCTGAAGAATTTCAGCACCGCTCCATCGCTATTGGCAAGCCAGTTGGGAACACAGAGTTGCGTCTTGTGGACGAGAATCTGAATGTGATTTTGAAGCCTGGACAAGTAGGTGAGATACTTCTTGGAGGACCTGGCTTGACTCTGGGCTATATCAACCGCCCAGAAGAGAACCAGAAGCGATTCGTCACATTTGATGGAATCAAGTACTATCGGACCGGTGATCTAGCGATGTGGCGCGACGCTAACCCCGATGTTCTCGAGTTCCTTGGCCGTGCGGATCTTCAAGTCAAACAAGGCGGATTCCGAGTAGAATTAGGAGAGATCGAACAAACACTCATGGCAAGCGGCTGGTTGTCAGGAGCTATTGTACGGCAGATTATCTCGGACGATGAGGAAGAGGAGCCATTTCTCGTCGCATTCATCGTCCCTGCTGTTGCCAATACCATTACTTCACGGAAACTCTCTGATTACCTGCAGCAGAGACTGCCGTCTTACATGGTTCCGAAAGATTATGTTTTCCGTTCGGAGTTCCCTTTGACGGAACATGATAAGGTAGACCGGAGAGCACTGGAACAGCAATACTGGAAGAGACGAGAGAAGCAGAGGTCAACGGATGGACATTTGGCCAATGGACCTAGTAACGACACTGCGAGTGCTGTTAAGCAACTATGGTCATCACTACTGCACAAGGATACTTTTAACGATAATGACGACTTTTTTGCACTTGGAGGAACTTCCCTCAAGTCTGCCGCCCTGATAGGGAAATTGAGAGAACAATTAGGCAAAACAATCTCCATGCGGTCCCTTCACGAAAATTCGTGTTTTGCAGATTTGGTCAAATACCTCGACGAATATGCAGAGGGGGGAGATGCACCAGATGAGGCAGAAAAATGGATCGAAGATTCCAAGCTTGCTGACAGTCTGTTTGCTGCCCCTGACTGGCAAGCAGGTGATGAAGGAAAAGTCTTTGTATCAGGTGTTACTGGGTTTGTTGGCGTGAACTTCCTCTGCCGATTTCTACAGATGCCTACTGTCAAAGAAATTGTGTGCATTGCACGCGCTAAAAATGGTGTGGAGGCTAGAGACAGGGTGCAGGCGACATTGGAGCGCTATGACCTCTGGGATGCGTCGGCGCCCCATATGCATAAATTGAGGGTACTCAGTGGTGACATCTCTGACGATCTACTCGGGCTCCCACCAGCGCAGTATGATTGGTTAGCAAACTGGGCAAGCGCTGTCTTCCATCTGGCTGCCAAGGTGAACTTTTGTGAGCCTTATAAGGCCCACTGGGAATCAAACATCCGTGGAACAAAGAATATGATAAATTTGGCTGCTAGCGGACGGCGGAAATCATTTCATCACATGTCCAGCATTGACGCGTGGGGCCCGACTGGCCTGGTATTTGGGACTCGCAGATGTCTAGAAGATGAGCCTCTTGAGAACCATGTGCGGGGCCTACCGTTTGATATCGGATATGCCCAAAGCAAATGGGTATCAGAGCGGATGGTGCGTCGAGCTCGTGACTCTGGACTCCCCACTGCCATCTATCGGCCGGGATTTATAATCGGTGATTCTTCTACAGGGGCTGGGAACCCTGATGACTTTTTCGCTCGCTTGATGGTTGGAAGTATTAGATTGGGCGCATTCCCAATTCTTCCAAAACAGCGTATGGAATATGTGACCATTGACTACGTGGTCAACGCGACGTTGCACATCGCCTCTAAGAACCAAAACCTCGGCAAATCATACAGCCTGGTTGCTCCTGACCCCAAGGACTCTGTGAATCTCGAGAAGACTGTAGAGGTTATTGGCGGTGTTGGATACCCATTGAAACATATTCCATATTGGGACTGGGTTCGTATGCTTCAAATGACCGATGACACGGATAATCCCTTATTGCCAGTCATGCCGTTGTTGCAAGAACCAGTGTTGAACGGTCTCTCCCGGTTTGAGACCAGCAGGAACACACCGCACTATGACAGCTCGAATACGGTGGGCGCACTGAAAGATAAGCCACATATTCAATATGTGTCTTTTGATTCCAGAATGCTGGGCAAGTTCCTCGAGTTTTGGCGCCGGAAGGGATTCTACGAGGTGCCAGGTATACATAACTAGGTGTCAATAGGAGGATATAATGAGAGATAGCAGCCAAGATAGGAATAATTCACAAGGGCTCAGTATCTATGGAATTTTTACTGTACACTGCACAAATTCCACCTAATATTCTCTGTCAAGCGTCGCGTCCACTTAATTATATTGATGATATGTACAGCGCACTGCTTGCTTGTAGCAGTTTACAGATTACATCAAAGTGAGTGTGCAAACAGCTTACCCTGTTCCTCCGTCGACTTGCCGACACAATGAGCATGGTTGCTATCGCTGTTCGCAGTTCAATCTACAGCGTAAGGTTAGTGGCCCATCCTGACATTTGATTTTCTGCACTCAATGGTGAGCTATACAATATAAGCGCTCACTATAGATTATAAAAGTGTTGTGTACCACAATGGGTTATGGGGCAATACACCATAATAAGCGATCGAGGCTTTATAGACCGATACGGAGCATATGGAGACACCCTAGCCATCAAGAGCTATGAGGGCAGTAAACCTGCTTAAGTATAGAACCGAGTCGGGGTACTATGCTTCAGATACATGGATGGACAGCCAATTTAATGTCAAGCTGTGGACGAACTTTTTTCGCGACCCTGCTCCCCAGTCTTGGTCCGTTTGGACAAGAAAGGGTTTTTGGTTTTAGCGAATCGGCCACTGCCGGTATAAAATCGGCAGCTAGAGAATGAGAGTACACTCACGGACATAGATCGCGACTATACATATTCAACTGTTGATTCCCAACTGGCGGATGTCCTTACATTCGTTTTTGGTATCACCCAAATGCGGTGAATAAGCTTGGAGCTTGCGTTTTGCAGTTATCTTCACTCTCAACAATGCGGGCAGTTTCCAGATCTTCAAAGGATTGCCGTCCTTGTCGAGCTTGTTTCGTCGAGGCTTCGAGGTGTTGTCGAAACCGTTGCCGAAACGTTTAGTTGGGTTGTCTTCTTGAGGCTTCCTTTCTTGAGGATCCTTTTTCGTTCCTGTCGATTCTGAAGAAATAAATAATATTTTGAGGCTTGTGACACCATCTCAAGGCGAGTTTCAGGTAGTTCAGGGAGATGTCCTTGGATGTAAGTGCGTAGCTCTGGCGTAAGGCTGCCGAAGAAGGATACGGCCCTCTGTTTCTTGTTTTGTTGCGGGAAGAGTTTCTCCAGGGAGTCCAGGTAGACATGGAACTCTCGAGGGTCCTCATCAGGACGTTGATGGGCTCTGCGTAATTTGACTATTATGTCTGCTTCAACATTTTCGGAATCCTCGATTAGGCTGAGGGTCCATTCCTTGAAGAGTTGCTACGAATTTTCTGCTTTCCCGCGCTTCCCCGTTTACATTTCTTGGACATTGGTGTACCATCACTGCCGGCAAGTAGAGTCCATATGCGAGATGGCGGCAATGATCTGAAGATTATCGGGTTTGTATTTCTTCGGGGCTCCCAGGAATACACATATCATATCTATGAGCCATTCTTCCCCCTTTTGAAGTGAGTACTTGAAGGTAAAGATAGGTTCTTAAATCCATCTCCTGCTGTCTTCAGGCGAAGAAGAGCCACTGTTTCGATGGAAAAGCTCTTCAAATCTGCTGGGCCCATTTCTTTCCTGAATTAGTTGAAGTGGCTCGACTTCAGTAATCCGCTGCAGAACCCGCTGGATTTCCAAGTTTCCCAATCCCTGAGGTTGATTGGAGGGCGAGGGGAAATTGCTTGACTCAGGGGGCGTGGCATCAGCGGAAGCATGTTGTGTAACTGGCGTGGCGGTAGGAATGGCGATCTCCTCAACTGAATCAAGGTGGCCCGGCATCGTGGCCAATGCTTAGGTAGTCAAAAAGGAAGGATTAGAATAATGTAAAGGTTCCACGAGACAGGGTAGATAAGCCTGTTGACTAGGTAAGAATTGGTAACAGGAACCTGTACGTAGACTGGTAAGAGGATAAGATGGGATGATATCAAATAGAAGATCACTAGATAACCAGGCTAATCCTTGTCTTTATAACCAGACTAATCCGTGTCTTTCTAGACGTTCGACAAGGGGGGTCTACATAGTATCCGTGCCATACGCACCCCCACTGTAATCACTGTTTGGACTGTAACCACCATGTACCCTTTTTATAAAAGGTACATGCTCACTAAGTCTAATATCTTGGGTATTCACTAGGGGTATCTATATTTTAGGTAGTAATATTAAAAAACCAAAAGGAAATATCTTATAATTAAAAGCCTTTTAAGAGTTTTAACGAAAAGTTAGAGATATAAGAATGTATAAAATTTCTGTCTAAAAAAAATCTTAAAAAAATCTTAAAAAAATCTTAAAAAAATAAAAAAAAATAAAAATAAAATAATTTTTTTATTTTATCTTAATACTTGTAATTTTCCTTTCTAATAATGAAAATAGTAATAAAAGATAGATACTATATATCTAAAGAATAAGAAACTAGAAAAACATGCAAATGGTGGTTACAGTGTGGGTGCGTATGGCACAGATAGGTTATATTGTAGACAGTGGACGCCCAATATACTTGACCAATGATACACGATCCAGCAATATAAGTATAAGTATCTTCACTGCTCTGCCTATGACTCCAAGATGACTCATAGATTAAGGGGATGGTGAAGAAAGTTAATGATGGAGCATTTTCTGCTTTAGGAAAAACTACATCCGTGGGCGATGCAATTCGCGGGTATGTGAACGACACGCTTCCCACCTAGATGACCTTCCAGAGCCACAGTGAAATAAGAGGTAATCACTTACATGCCCATAAAGGTGCAGTTAATCTGAAAATGCCATATTTTCACACAAATCATCAGTCTTTTGAAATGTTCCAGAATCTCTCACATACTCCCTCGCCCATATCATAATCAAATCCACTACCTCATCAATCTGCTCATCTGTGTTATCTGCATGTACCACAATACGCACTCGCTCTTTGTCCCTAGGAACAATCGGATAGCGTACTGGGTTCACCCAGTATCCGGCTTCTTGTAACTTCTCGGCAAGACCGGCGGATTGCCCTACTGAGGTAATGATTGGAATAATCGGGGCTGAAAAACAACCATCACCCCAGGTTTGCTCATTGGGTAGACGTAAGATCCCAGCTTGTGTAAACTTCGGCCATTCTGGGTGGTTTGTGAGCCCTTCATGGAAACGCCGGATGTTATTCTGAAGACGGATTCGGCGCTGGTCTTTAGTTAGCTCACACCGTTGGTCTTTGTTTTCCGGCTTTTCCTACTCACGTCCTCTCCCTCATTGCTAGCTAGAATGTTGTAACCCGCCTTGACGGCAGCTAAAGTAGGGAACGCGGGTGCTGTGGAGAAAATCATGCCCCTCGAGTAGTTAATGAGATAAAACCGCACAGTCGGATTGACAAGTACAGCGGCTATCAATAATTCAATTAACACAGACCAGTGTTTGGGTGACAACTTTGAAAACTCACCACCAGTTGACCCAAGTCCCTTACCGCAAGTGTGCAGCCTGATAGCAAACTCTTTCTCTAGACCATAGTGGCAAACATAGCCCGAGCCGTTCTGACCAACCAACCCGTTTGAATGTGCCTCATCAATCGAAAACACCGTATTACCGTGAGGTAGAATTTCCTTTGTCAGCTTTAATATCTCATGGACAGGTGCAAGGTCAGCATCCATGCTGTAGAAGGATTCAAGAGCTATGAAAACTGTTTGATCGCCGTGCGCTAAGGCAGGATACTTTTCACGAACTTCGATAAGGCGTTTACGAAGGGAATTGCAATCATTATGAGAGAACATCATAGTTATAGCCCTCCCTTGACGCATGCCATCGTGAATACTGGCATGAATATACTCATCATAGATGACGACGTCGCCGGGCTGTGGGATCGTCGACCAAATAGCCACATTGGCTTCGTAGCCGGACGGAAAAAATAAAGCCGATTCGGCCCTGTGGAACTGAGCAATATGACTTTCGACGTCTGATAGGTACTGAGTAGTACCCTCAAAGATGCGGGTTGATCGACTACCGACATCAAATTTGGGATGTTTTGCCAGTTCCTCGAAGAAGGCCTTTCGAAGAACCCCCGATGAGTTGAGTGAGAGTGTATCATTAGAGCCAAAATCAACCATCTGGGCAATCTTTTCGGGGGCCGCTGGCTCGATCAACCTACCCTGCTGTCGGCGATTCTCCAGGGTGGCTTGGAGCCTTCGTGTTAGGGTCGCTTGTGAGCGAGTCTGCGGTTGGGTGGAAAGAGTTTTTAGCGCTGATCCCCCATTCGTAAAATAGTTCGACCTGTTTTGACATGCAAAACTTGATCTTCGTATAGGAACAGACAGGAGGCTTTTAAAGAACATTATAACCTGGCGTATGAAATCGTTGGGTTGCTCTGAGATCTCATTGAGATTTTTGTGAAAAAACACTGGTCTTTATACCAGATGCCACAGGCTTTCAAGCTTGCTCTTTGAGTATTGTAAGATGGTTGATGTCATACATCGAATTATCCGTTAAGACCACCTTCTATACGGGTTTAAGCTGTTTTGGTAAGTCTTGAGGGTTATGCAGCTGTGGCCTCCCTCCAGCGCTCTCACCCCCTTTAACAGCAGCCCCCCAGCAAATGCGGAGCCCACATACTTATCCATCACTAATAACGACATTAATACATATGTTCTATTCTAAAATTTACGACCTAATCGCTTGCCGATGTACCTAATTCAGTGCCTAATTCTAAGCAAGTAGGTAGGAATGGTCCCGGGGTGACGTGGCGAGATGCTAAACTAGTCAAGGTATATGATACTGGACAAATACCAAGAACTAAAGCTTGGAACATAATCGGGACGACAAAAACCGGTTATGATGAGCAAGTCACAGCCGGCATGCAGTATACTATCGCAGTTTGTCTGATGATATCATGTAAAGAACGTTTTGGAATCGCCCAAGGGGGGTTGAAGGAGGTTGCTTCGGGCTATCATGACGCGCACTGGAACTTTATAATGAAGGCGCCAGATAGAAGAGTTATTGGCGAATGTACTGGGAGACTGGCGGTCAATGTAGAGGAGGGTCTTAGACAGCAAGGACAAGGAAACGATGCAAGCGTAAGAGGAGAGTAGAAGGGAGGAACCAGTGGGGTAAAAGTGGAATGTAACGCTACTTGATGGTTCTGATAGATTGAATCTTCTCCCTACTGTTGGGTTGCTGCCCAGTGCGACTGTTATGGGGCTACATCTTCCTGCTCAAATGCCACTGAACCAGGACTTAACCCTCTACCCCCTTAATGCCAGTGCCGGAAAGGGTAGGAGTGCCAAAAAGGCAAAATGATGAAATGATAAACCTTTTCATTCGCCGCACCTGTCGTCATACATACCAGTCAAATTCAGGTATTCTTTAGTAGCTTTTCCATATTGTGACGCGGTAGTAGGCCATGTACGCAGGGCTATGAGGCCTCTTGGTAGCTACAGCGTCATTGACTAATATTGCGAGAAATCTTGCTATTCTAGGGAATATATAATATTGTGGATCAGCGTCCAGAAACCAGCAAGTTCATGCACTGTTGTGCAATTCCTGAACAAGTTTCCTGTGACTTGACATATTTCCCACAGTAGAATTAAATTTTTTTTTTTTTTTTTTTTTTTTTTTTTTTTTTCAAAATTCGTACAACTCATTTTTACAGTATGGATCAGGCCATTTTTCATAAAGCCAAGACCTCCCCTGATGCGATTGCCGTTGTTGAAGGTGATATCAGGTTGACATTTGCCGGGCTGGTTTCAGAGTCCCAGAAGCTGGCTTCTATGCTTCATGCAAAGGGTACATCTATGGAGGAGCCATTCGGTATCCTACTAGCACCTGGAATCAATCTGGTGATCGCCCAGTTTGCGACTATCCTCGCTCAAGGCACTTGTGTTCCGGTGGACCCAAAAACACCGAAATTGCGGCTGAAAAGCATGTTCCGCGATGTTGGAGTCAGGCACATCATTGTGGAAGAAGGTAGTGAATACGAATTAGATGACATTGTCTACATCTTCCTTGGAAATATTAGGAAGAAGAAATGTGACTTACAACATGAGGATGATCCCACTACCTTTACGCCCCGGTTTATCTCCAAAACCCACCGCACCCACATCCTGTTCACTTCAGGCTCGACAGGAAAACCAAAGCCTGTTCAGATCAGTGCCCGGAATATAATGCACCTCGCTACCAACACCCCGATAACTCCGCTATCCCCCAATTATAAAGTTGCCCATTTTAACAACCCTGGATTTGATCTTAGCCTCTTTGAAGTCTGGGTTACGCTTATCTCCGGGGCAACAATTGTGACTATCAAAAAGGAAATCGTGCCAGACCCTGCTGCCCTCAAACCATTCCTCGATTTCCATAAGGTGACTGTTATGATCCTTTCAGTGGCGTTGATGGAGACACTCGTTTTTGGAGATCCTTCAATCTTCTGCAACCTAAAGCACGTACTTAGTGCCGGTGATGTTGCCAGTGTCAAGGCAATGCGTGCGATGTGCCCTCGTCCCGAGAACATCTGGAACACGTACGGCCCCACCGAATGTACCACCCTCGCAACAGCCCTCCTTGTTACCGAGGAGGAGTTAAAAAGGGATCGAATTAGCATTGGCCGGGCCGTCGGGGATATGAAAGTTTACTTGTTGGACGAGAACCTGAAACCTATCCATAGGAGTGGAACACGGGGAGAAATTTGCATTTCTGGTCCACAACAATCTGCTGGCTATCTGAACATGCCTGTTGAGACTGAAACGAACTTTATATATGTCAAAAATGTCGCGCTTGGTCTTAAAACGCGTCACACAAGGGAAGATGCTTCTCGTTTGTATCGAACGGGAGACTACGCAGAGTGGCGACCTAGCTCAGAACTTTTGGAATTCCTCGGACGCAGTGATCGACAAGTCAAACATAATGGGTTTCGAGTAGAGCTCTCAGAGGTCGAAAGACATTTTCTACTTCACGAAGACGTGGAAAGCGTGGCGGTGGTCCATGTATCATCAGTGACTGATCATAGAACGTCGCACCTTGTCGCGTTTATCAGGGCAAAGGCAGGCGGAGACTTAAGAGTGGAAGATTTGTCTGCATTTGCCCGCGAACAACTACCTCTCTACATGGTGCCTGACAGTATTGAGCTGATTGATGATCTCCCCTTGACATCCAATGGCAAGCTTGATCGTCAAGCTTTGAAGGAAAGGTACCTACGGAAGCCAAGTCATGATACGGTCGAGCGACGCGTCGAAAACGGCAAGCCAACCACCAAATCCACGATACAAAGGCTGTGGAAAAATATTCTACCCCGGTCAAGATGCGAAGACGAAGATGACTTTGTTGAACAAGGCGCAAGCTCCCTGCAAAACGCTACTCTTATTTCGCTGATACAGAAGCATCTTGATTGTCCAATCTCTATGGAAAAGTTCCTTCAGAATACACGGCTTCGAGATCTAGTATCTTTGGTAGATCAAGCGCCCAAATGCGAGACAGCCGCCTACACATCTGATGAAACCGAGGTGTGGATCAGAGATGTTGATTTAGCTGACCAAATTGAGCTGGTTCCAAATTGGACTGCTGAAGAGGAGGGTCGGGTTTTTCTCACGGGTGCGACTGGATTCGTAGGAGCAAACCTCCTCCGCCATCTCATCGATATGCCAGCCGTCAAGCAAGTTGCCTGCTTAGCACGAAGGCAAGGGTCTCTCAGTGGAGCTGACCATATTCAAGCAACACTGGAGCAGTACGACCTGTGGCCAACATCTTTGCAGCTTATTCAGAAGATTATCGTCCTGGAAGGCGATATGACGGACGAGAATCTGGGATTAGGCCCTGAACGGTTCACGTGGCTCACCAACTGGACCTCAGTGGTCTTTCATCTAGGCGCCAAGGTGAACTTCTGTGAGACATATGCCGCCCATTATGACTCGAATGTACTTGGAACAAAGCATGTTCTCCGTGTGGCTGCCCTTGGACGTCGTAAAGCATTTCATTACATGTCGAGCATTGATGTCTGGGGACCGACTGGGTTTATTTTAGGAACTCGTCGGGTAATGGAGGATGGACCTCTTCATCCTCATATACAGTGCCTTCGGTACGACCTCGGATACTCAGCTAGTCAGTGGACTGCGGAGCAAATGGTTCGCCGAATGCGAGACCGCGGTCTGCCAGTTGCTATATACCGGCCCGGATACATCATCGGTGATAGCAAAACTGGCGCCATGAACCCGAACGATTTTTTCTCTCGGCTCATCGTAGGATGTATCCAGATTGGCTCTTTCCCAGATCTACAGCAGAACTTGGAGTTTTGCACTATTGACTATGTGATTCCTGCCATGGTACACATTGCCACATCGAATGAGAATCTAGGCCGCTCGTACAGTCTTCTCTCCCCCGATCCCGCAGTATCCATCAGTGTCCGCGAGACATGTGGCGTTATCCAGGAAGCGGGGTATCCAGTTAAGCTGGTGAAGTATTCCAAGTGGGTGGACGAAGTAGTTGCAGGACAACTACCAGATGGACCACTGGCTCCATTGATGCCCATGTTTGAAGAGAAGGTTCTAGGGGAACTCACGCGTTGGGAAGCAAGCCAAAACACACCAATCTATGATTCGACTAATGCGGCAAATGTGCTTAAAGAGCGTCCGGATATTCGATATAAGCCCTTGGATCCCACACTTCTCAAGTTGATGATTTCATTTTGGAACCGAAAGGGGCTCTATCAAATTTGATAGTGGGAATGTTATGAAGCTCCTTTTCTTCCACTTGATTACTATGTCTCCCTTAAATTACCCTCGCCCTTAATGATAAAACCTCATTAAGACGACTAAGAGCCTAAACCCGCTAACTCCATACTTACTGTTGTATGTTTTTGTTCAACTCTTTTTTGACTTGCTAGGCGCCCTTGCCGCCCTGCTTTCACTCTGTTCACCCGCTTCGCCTGGATTTCCAGTGAGGCTGGCCTGAATCTGAATATTGCTCACTCGACACACCGCACACCCCTTGTCTGGCTGACCTGGCACCTTTTGACATCCAAAGGGCCCCTTACGTAAACTAAGTGCTCATGTGAGACACTACTCTGTACTTCGTACACAGATCACGCGCACTTGGACGCTTCCTTTCAATAACTGCTCTCTTGTGTTTGCTTGTTCCTAACTCCCTGTGGTGCTCGTGATGGCTACTCACTCACTTGGGCCTGCGATTTCCTTCAAGAATCAGAAGGATTTTATGCAACTCGATGGGAAATGGCTGAAGTCAATCTCAAGTCAGACATTTTCAAGAATCTCTGAATTGATGAACATAAGCGCATGGTCCAGGCACTGGTCAAGAGTCACCTTCAAAAGCAGCGAGACAACATCTACTTAATCCGGGGCAAGGTGTCTGAGTAGGTGGCTCTCCTCCACAGTATGCCACGTGTGGGCAAGACGGCGACGGCGATGGCTATGACCCAGGTAAATGAAAAGACTCTATTCGCTATACTTGCATCTTTCCTCTTATGCTTATACCTCCGTCGCCTCCTTTTCTTCCATTATTAGGTCATAGCCCTGCGAGAGACTACAACTATGATCCTCATTCAATAACATTCTCTCTCTGAAGAGATGACATATCACAGACTCTAGAAGCTAGGAAGTCTTCCGTTCATTTTTACCAGTCATTGTTCAGTTAGCCAGTGTGCAATGTTATTAGTCCCTAGTGATGTGCATTAAGGACTTGTGCCCAGGATGAACGCTACCTCTCCTAAGGATCTCTCCTTATTTTGAACTATTTGACCGCTTCAAAGAAGCTCCATCCACCTGTGATCATCCCCTCATACAGGTACAACAGCTTAGCATACTGCTTCGCTTCGGAACACCGTAAGCGATCCAACTATCGAGGTGATGCTGCTGGTGCTGCTGGTGTGCGTGGTGTGTATAATCGCAATAGCGGCGGCGTGGTGGAAGGTAATGCTTGTAAATTTTCATTTTGGCTGTTTTGTCCATTCAGTCCGCCGTGCCTCGCCTTTAGTAGCTCGCCCTGGCATTTTTCTACCAACTTCAGACACCTTTGAGCACTATCTTGCTCGCCTCTGTCCTTGTAACACTCTGCCAGAGCACTCATTGTGGTCAAGACATTTTCATAGCTGGATGATGTACACTGCTGCTTGGATTCTCTTGTTTCTTGAATAGCTGCAGCGAACTGTTTCTCTGCTTCCAAAAGGTTCTCCTCCAGCATGTACACTGATCCCAACATAATCAGCACGCTCTGCCTCTGTGCTGAACCTGGCGCTCGAGAGTTTTGCAGCTTATTCAAAGCCCGCTGGCATAGAGCCACAGTTTCGTCGAGCTCGTGGTCTCCCAAGTGGACGTAGCACCTCATGAGGACGACACGGCAAGAGAGTTGAACATCACTCTGCCAAAGCGACTCCCAGTCTTCAGTCGTCGCGTTGTCGCAGAGACTCTTCAAGTCCCCGTACTTATCCAGTTTGATATAAAGAGCAGCAAGGCGGGAGAACATAAAAGGCTTGGCATAGTCAGCCGAGTTCTTCTTATCAAACATCTCCCGTGCTTCGACGAGCAGATCCTTGGCCTTTTCGGTTTTATTTTGGGAAAGGCACAGGTGAATTTGAGTACAATGAAGGTTGAAAGATTGTTGGCAACTTTTCACCTTGCCTGTTTCTTCCTTGGGTAGGTGGTTCTCCATCCATGTTTGCATATCTCTCGGCATGTCCTGCACATGATCTTGTGTCCATAATAGAGATACCAGGTTCTTCTCGAATAGGAGACCCGATATTTCCTCATCCTGGGAAGATGTTGAGGGTTCTGATAACAGTTTCATGCCCTTTTCCGTCTGTCCTCTGAGTATACAGTTCCGTGCCAGTAGAAGAGTGAACGATCGTTTTGCACGTCCTTCATCGACATCAGGGTCGGCTTGGAACAGGCTCAGGGTATGATTACACAATCTTTCTGCCTCGTCATAATTTTTCAGGCCAGTAAAAATGTCAATCATGAGCCACTTGAGGGTAAATGTGGCTGGGTGATAGCGGCCAAACGTTTCCTCGACCTGTTCATGGAGGCTCATGCACACCTTCCCGGCAGTTTCTGGTCTGTTAAGCATAAGGAAGAAATTAATAACATCCTGCATTTGCTCCACCTGGGCTTCTGTATAGCCCTTAATTAGCCGCTTCTGAGAAAAGAGATCAACAATGCGGTTCGCATGAGCTAGTAACCTCTGCGATATGTGCCAGAACGAAGGAGTGCTTTCTCGCGGTATTCTGCTGGCTATACAGCCCAAAGCCAGCGAAGACATTCCGTAGTCCCAATCCCTATTGAGGACATGGATAGTCCAAGAATGCACACAGTTATGTATCCGGAAGCCAATTGAGCCACTCCCATTGTCTGTCACTTTTGCAGGCAGCTCGATCATGGCGTGCTCATGGAGAATTCCCACAGCGTCGTTGAATTCAAGTTTATCCGCTGTGAGAGTTTGGAGCCATTCTGGCTTCTCTAGCCCATTCTTCGTCTCGAAGAGCTCATACCACAGATCATTATTGTCAAAATAAGCACAGAAACATAAGAGTCTAGCAGCAAGTTTGTTGACTTTGCAAATTCGATTTAAAGTAAGATTCCAGGTGGAATAGAGAGTAAGATTATATTGATCAGATGTTGGTGTCTTCTCCAGCAGCCGGAGCCAAGATTGATTGTACGCATCCAGATATTCCGCACAGCTGTATGGATAGCGACGTAGGTATGTACTCGCTGCCACTAAAGCAAGAGGAAGGCCATCTAACGTTCGAGCCAATCTTTGTATATCTGGATCTAAAGCCACATCAATGTCACAGTTCAATGCAAGCTGAGAAGCCTCACTCACCGTCACGTAAGGATGGCCGGCCGGAACGCTTGAGCAGTAAATCTACTCCATGGCACAAGGCCGTAAATTTCTTTATCTGAACATGATGCCATAGGTCCGATTGTCGCCATCTGGATGTGATGAGTATGTGCCCATGATTGGTTCGAATCATTCTGTGCAAATTCCAGTTACAAGGCTGGAATCATCCGCCGGACCCTGGCCATAACCATCGCAGATGACGAGCCATCTGTCATTCTGAGTTTGGTTTAGCCAGTCAATCACGGCTAATGATGCCTTTTCGATATCTTGCGATTCTAACACCTCTTTCCAGCCCGGCAAGGAAGGGTTCTGGAGGTGAATTCGCACTGCGACTGCGAAAAGACTCTGCTTAACAGTGTCCATGCTTCGGCAATTTACCCAGTAGATCGCATCATACTCGCTTTCGTAGACCTCTGCATATTTCAGCGCAATTTGTGTCTTTCCGATGCCCCCTAATCCACTCAGAACAACCGTTATCCTTGACCGACCCTGCTGGAAAAGGAGCCGTATCTGGGCGACTTCCTTGCCCCGTCCCGTATAGAAGGGGAGCAGTTCTACCCCATGAAGCCAACTTTTAAGCTTGTATACGACCTGATTCGCTTCCGTTGCTATATATCAAGACCCGTTTTAGCGTGTTATACCGGCGCATATGATATCAATTCCAGCCTCCATACCTGTATTGGCTCGCTCATGCTGGGTCAACCTCTGAGCGTGCAGCCAAAGGGCAGGCTTGGTCAAACTTGGGATCATTTTATGTTTTTGCTCGAAGGTGCATATAAAAGGGGGCGATCAATGTTGAGAACTAAATGATTGATATAAGCCTCGTCAACACCTTCAACAGTTGACTCAGAAGGATGAATGGAAAGTTGACGCGAGGGACAGTGATGGTCTGGTTTGTATTAAAAGACCCTGTCCATTTCCCCTGAATCTTGACACTAAAGGAGATGAGGGCTGTGAACTGGACACAGACCAATCCCATTGGACAGTAAAAAGTACCACCTTACCAAGTGCCGTGAGATTTTAGTCTTTTGGCGAATGAAAGATATTGACCGTGTATTATGTTGGTAGTTACTTCGATACTCTGGTCTGTAAAGTATGGTGACTGCTACACCCATCTCAGATTGCATTTCCAACATGAATGAATAATTAACTATTTACATTGAATTACCTCCGCAACCGTCTTACACTAAGATTTTTATTAATATCCTCAAGTTCCTCTTGCACTTTTAGATGTTCTGCCATTGTTAAACTTGATATTAAGTCTAATAATATAGTGGCTTTGTTTGTATAAGTAACTATTCCTGACTGACTGTAGGTTAATTACATAATTATGTGTTTCTTTTCATTTTGATCAGGGCGCATATAACGCATTTTGACTCTACTTCTTCTCTGTAAGACATGCCGCTGCCTCAAGAAGCTCGTATCCTGGGATACAGCTATTCAACCCTATTTTTAAGGATTCATATTTATCTTTCGATTCGGCGATATTCAACAGAGCCATCAAGAAGTCATACCTCCAACTTTAGATCTAGCTGAACATCAGGCATATTGGCGATAAAGCTTCAATGCAGTTGAGGGGAAACCTCAAGGAATTGGAAGACGTCTGTTAGACGCATCATAATCTGGCAATGGATGGATCTTCTGATGACGTTGTACAATCTTTGAGTTCGGAAACTTGGAATCGAAAGAATTGAGTCGACAGTGGCGCACTTCTCAAGACCTTGCTGAGCGGAGTAAACAAGTCAGTTGGAGGTCAACAGGAAAACAGTCAGATGTGAAGGTGATGGTGCATTATGTATGTGTGTGTATGTGTGTGTGTGTGTTTGTTTGTTTATTTAATGGCCGTGGGCCATGACTAGACCTAGGCAAAAACCCAACCTAGAACACCCCCTGTCTACTGTGAATTCATCTTAGTCGTGCGACTAGCTCGGTTTGCTCGCTCTAGTAAAGAGGTGAGTCGCAAGAGAGTCTACAGTTTATGACTAACCAGCTCTAAGCCACGATGCAAAGGAAATTATGATCCACTAAAAGTGTTTCCTCGCCTGTAGCGCGTGAGGACTTCTGCATGAGATGCAGTATGTCACAATGTGATTGTCTGGCTTTGCCGGCGAGGCTGAGTCGATCATGTCAAGGCTCACGCTGCAGTAAAAGCCCACGTATCAAGAAGAAGATGCCATTCCCATCAGGGGCGTGGTTTCACTGTAATTATTTATCTACCCATGTAGCCGCACTCTCGACAGCAACTAGCCCACTCGTGATTCTCTATTATTTACTTATATAATTATGATCGCAAAAGTGAACTTCTTCAAGTAGTCAAGGATGCCCCAAACTGCCCGAAAATTCGCACATGGTGATTACACTGTCGGGTGGATATGTGCTTTGCCAGAGACCGAGTTCGTGGCCGCAGGGGCCATGCTGGATGAAGAACATCCAGTGCTTCCTGCCATCCAGTTGCAAGATACAAATTCGTACCTCCTTGGCAGGATTGGCGATCACAATATAGTAATTGCTTGCTTGCCTGCAGAAACAACAGGCAAAGTGTCTGCTGCTACTGTTGCCAAAGATATGCTCCGCAGCTTCCCGGCTGTCCGATTTGGTCTGATGGTTGGCACTGGTGGTGGGGCTCCATATTACGGTACGCAGGGATCTGGCAATACTGAATTTAGTGAGCAGGAGGAGGAGGACTCCGAAGATGAATTGGAAGATATACGAGATATAAGACTTGGTGATGTTGTGGTAAGCCTGCATTCAAAATCAGCAGAAGCGGTTGTGCAGTATGATTTTGGCAAGTCTCTACAGGAGAAGGAGTTTGTTCATACCGGCGGCAAACTCAACAAGCCCCCGGCAATAGTCTTGAGCGCAGTTTCTGTGCTCCAGCAACAGCATAGACGGAAAGGCCATACGATTTCTGAGCTGTTAGCAGACACACTGTCAAAGAATCCTGGCATGGCTGAAGAATTTCGGTATCCAGGTTCGGCGAAAGATCGATTGTTCAAACCAGATATTGTTCACTTGGAGGGAAGGAAGTCATGCAAGGCTTGCTGTGGGCCCAACAACATGAACCTTGTGAGGAGAACAGACCGGCATGGAAGTGCTCCCAAGATACACTATGGAACCATTGGATCAGCGGATCAAGTGATGAGGGACGCCATATTAAGAGATAAGTGGGCACTGAAGGAGAAAATAATCTGTTTTGAAATGGAGGCTGCTGGTAAGTTTTTCTCTCCATCTTGTAAACTCCCATATCTAACTCTTCAATCAGGGTTAATGGACCCGTTTCCCTGCCTCGTCATTCGGGGTATCTGCGACTACGCTGATTCCCATAAGAATAAGATCTGGCAGCCGTATGCTGCGGCAACGGCAGCATCTTATGCTAAAGAACTTTTGCTCGTTATTCCTGGACAAGGTGTCATGGATCTATATCCAATTGAGCAATGTACGTAGTCTCGAGGAATTGATCTTGCCCGGCATGTGTTTCGCAGAAATGCGCAGTTTTCGATGCTTGCTTATGATAAACCTAGCTCTTGGCAAAATCGAAGCGAACCTCGACACGATGAGGTCTAAGTTGGCCAGAAAAGAAGATTATGACTTACTCAACTGGATCACGCCTGACGACTACGGCCCTTTGCAAAGCGACCATTTTCGGAGACGACAAGCTGGAACTGGCGAATGGCTTCTCAATTCAATGGAGTTTCAAAAGTGGCTCAAGACAAGGCAGGAAACCTTGTTCTGCCCTGGAATTCCAGGCGCTGGGAAGACAATCTTGGCGTCTGCTGTAATCAACCACCTCACTAGACGCACCTGCGAAGATCGAAGTCTCGGCGTTGCGTATGTTTACTGCAACTTCCAGCGGAAAAACGAACAGACGGCCGACAGATTACTCTCAAGTTTGCTGAAACAATTATCTGAGAGACTGCCGACCGTTCCAGGAGAGATAAGCGACCTTTATAGTCAGCATAAAACTGACCGAACACGGCCGTCACTAGAAGAAATATCACGCACCCTCTATTCTGTGGCTATTAAATACTCAAGAGTATTTATCCTTGTCGATGCGCTTGATGAATGCCGAGAATCAGAGAATTGCCGAATAAAATTCTTGTCAGAGATTTTCAGCCTCCAAGCTAGATGTGGGATCAATATTTTTGCAACTTCTCGGATGAATGGCGAGATTGAGAAGATATTTACCAACGCTATCTCCCTTGAAATTCGTGCGACAGACCACGACGTAGAGACATATCTCGATGAACGAATGCGACTCCAACAGTTGGATATCCTGGATGACGACACAAAAATTGAAATCAAGCGAACAGTTGTTAATGCAACTGGTGGAATGTATGGCATATAACTGACCCCCAAAGCTGGAAAGGATTGTGCTAAAACCGAACATCAGGTTCTTGCTCGCAAAGCTGCACATAAAGTCCCTCTTATCCCTGCCAACGAAGGGTCATATTAAGGATGCTTTACGGAACCTTGCTAAAGGAGAAGAGGCACTAGACAAAATTTACAACCAGACGATGGAGAGGATTGAGGATCAAATAAGAGAAAGACGAGATCTTGCGAAACAAATTCTGTTTTGGATTTTTTATGCCAGAAGGCCACTTTCGACAGAAGAAATTCGGCATGCCCTTGCTGTTAAGATCCAGTCCGCGAAACTGGACAAAGACTATCTTCCCAGTACCAACCTCGTACGGTCTCTATGCCTCGGGCTGGCTACAATCGATGGAGAAAGCGGTATGATTCGGTTGGTCCACTACACGACGCAAGAATACTTTCGGCGAACCCAGGTCCGTTGGTTTCCTGATGCAGAGCATGAAATCGTGAAAACCTGCATCACTTATCTATCTTTCGATACATTTCAGAACGGGTTCTGCTGGAATGATGCAGAATTTGAGATCCGAATACAGTCAAACGTTCTGTATGATTACGCTGCGCGTAATTGGGGACACCATGCTCGGGAAGCTTCAAATAGGGCGCGACAGTTTAATTCAAGCCTTCTCAATGGTGCTGCCAAGGTGTCTAGCCTAAGTCAGGATGTGCCACCGCAAATGGCAAGTGTGGATCTTGAAGCGTACTCAGTCCAAACGGAGATGGTGTTAGAGTTCCTTAATAGTGAGTCTAACACATCTAGCTCAAGTCAGGCAATGTTAGTAGATGAAGGTTACATCGGCTCCTTCAACTACAGTCAAAATGTGCCACGGCAAATGACAAGCATGCACCTTGCGGGGTATTTCGGCCTGAGCGACATTGTACACATGTTAATCCGGAACCAGCAGGACCCAAACACTAAGGATTCTTATAAGCGCACACCACTGTCATGGGCGGCAGAGAATGGACATGAGGCAGTTGTGAAGATACTACTTGACAGAGGCGCTGCAGTTAACTCACTCGATAAATTTTGGCAGACACCACTGT